TGGAATCTGCAGAGCAACTGAGTTCTCAGATTGGAGAGTTGTTTGATGAACAACAGATTTATCGTATTGATCATTATCTTGGAAAGGAATTGGTCCAAAACATGGTAAGCTGGTAACATGCCGGGCTATTAGAGTCTAGCCATCAAGTTATTTCCTTGGAAAATCAATGATAATTTTAACTCCGTGCATCACTTGCAGTTGGTCCTCCGATTTGCAAATCGCTTTTTTTTGCCGCTTTGGAACCGTGACAATATCGAGAACGTGCAGGTAAGAGCTGCATAGCTAAGACAGAAATAGTCAAACTGTTATTTAGAGTCTAGTGCAGATAAACTTAAATGCTTTTCTGGCAGATCGTTTTCAGGGAAGATTTTGGAACTGAAGGGCGTGGTGGATATTTTGATGAATACGGGTAATACTTTCTTTGGTGTCTTCTTGTTCTTCTTATAGGATGTTAATGAGATAAAACCAGTGCGTTTATGATGAAATGTTCACTTCCTGCATTACAGAATTATCCGTGATATCATTCAAAACCATTTACTCCAGGCAAGTATACCTGTGATTGTTTCTCTCCGTGTTTCTCTGTAAATGCAAATGCTTCCATGTATTAACTAACTGAGTTTAGAGTACTGTAGGTTCTTTGCCTTGTTGCCATGGAGAAGCCAATATCTCTTAAACCCGAGCACATCCGGGATGAGAAAGTGAAGGTGATCAATATTTTTTTTAACCACTTATAGCTGTTCGTTTGGACTTTCTCTGCCTATTTTTTTCTTAATTCATATGCTTTGGAACATCTCTGTCTGATTTAGTTACACTTTCATCTAGCAATCTCCACGGCTGGTTTACTTGGATTGATTTATATTTTGATTTGCCTTTTCAGCCAATTAGTTCAAAGTTACTGATTATTTTAATGAACTTCAGGTGCTTCAATCTGTGGTTCCAGTAAAAGATGAAGAGGTGGTTCTTGGACAATACGAAGGGTATAGAGATGATCCCACTGTTCCGAATGACTCAAATACTCCAACGTTTGCCACAACGATTCTTCGCATACACAACGAAAGATGGGAAGGTACCCTGTCCCATTTCACTCTTTATCACTTTAACTTGAGAAAACCATCTGTAAATCAACATAAACATGAGAAAAGGAGGTTTAATGGATCAACGTGATCGTATATGGCACCAATCTTATTATAGTCAATGGAGTATGCATAACCGGTGTATGTCTATCCAACTGTATATAACAATCACTACGAAGATGAGAAAAATTGTAGAATATTTTCATGATCATATATGTGGCTTTATGCACGTTTAACACAAAATCAACTCTTTGTTACATCAACTGAGTAACTATTCTCTTCAGGTGTTGTTGGTGCGTATTGACATACTGATTGATATATATCTTTCAGGTGTTCCATTTATACTTAAGGCCGGCAAAGCGTTGAACTCAAGGAAGGCAGAAATCCGAATTCAGTTCAAGGATGTTCCAGGGGACATATTCAGATGTATTTTCTTACCCTGACACTTTCTTTTAGCTGAGGCTTAAGTTCTTCTTTTAGCTTTTCGAATTGAATTTATGTACTGATGAGACTTTCATGCAAACAGGTCAGAAGCAAGGGAGGAATGAGTTTGTGATACGCTTACAACCTTCCGAGGCAATGTACATGAAACTAACTGTAAGTATATAATGATGAACAAACAAACATACTTTACGCTCTAACCTTGAACCATTACATTGAACAACGACTCTCTTGGCTTTTTTTTTTGCTACACAGGTTAAGCAACCGGGTCTAGAGATGCAAACCGTACAAAGTGAACTAGACTTGTCGTACGGGCAACGATATCAAGGTGTCTCGATACCAGAGGCATACGAGCGCTTAATTCTTGACACGTAAGAAAGAACTTGTCTGAATTATATGCGGCTATATACCGTCACAACTGCCTTTTGAAAATATATCCAATTGGCTTATTCTCTTTCTCCATGTTACTATAATCTTCAACTTTTTTTCTTCCCATCTTTCTGCAGAATCAAAGGCGATCAACAACATTTCGTTCGCAGAGACGAATTAAAGGTAGAAACATTTTCTTTCACCACCCTTAAAACCAAAGCAACTCAGAGATCTCTTTTGCTACACTACAAGTATCAAATTTTGCTTCATCTCAAATCTTTAGTCACAATCGAAACATAGAAACTTTTTGAATTATACGATTTAGGAGCTAAGTTGGTGTCTATTTTGAATGATTACAGGTAGCGTGGGAGATCTTTACGCCGTTGCTTCACAGGATTGACAAAGGAGAAGTGAAGTCAATCCCATACAAACCAGGAAGCCGAGGACCGAAGGAAGCTGATCAGCTACTAGAGAAAGCTGGTTACCTTCAAACCCATGGCTATATCTGGATCCCTCCTACACTATAAACACATACATATATACACAATACATGCATGCACATGCATATGTATAATGTATACGGTAAGTAGACTACTAGACATCTTGTCTAATAATGATTCCCGAGATTTGGTGTTTGTATGTGAACCTCTTAAGTTAATTACGTGTGCTGTTCACTTTGAGACTTGTATTTCTCTCGTTTGCTTTTGTGGTCATTGGTTCCACTAATTGCAAACTAGCTTTGTAGAAAAACAATATATATATATATATTAGCCAACCAAAATTAAAGCAAACTAAACATCTCTTGGTTAGTTGATGTGCACTAAACTTGGGAGATAAGAAGATGAGCACACAAGTGGGTGGCACATGCTATCTTGAGCTTCTCCGAGATTCACAGACTTGAAGTATCCATCGTCTCCGATGATAAAAGCTGTGTTGTACCGAACGGTATTGGCGGGATCTTCATTGTCAAACTCGAAAACCACAGCAACTTTCTTCTCCTTGTCAATGAAGAAGCTCGCAGCTTCATAGAAAATCCGAAAACCAGAGAGAGGACCCATATCCACTTTCAAAAACCTGCTCCAGGACACTGAGTTGGGGTCAATCTTAGTGGTAACCCAAATCTGCATTACCTCAAGAGTGTTCTGATACAGCACAGCGAGCTGCTCTTCTTTGACACAAGCGAGTGTCACAGCCTCGTCGATGTAAGACTGAAACGTATTCTTGTCGTAACCTAGAGCATACCTGTCAAAACTATGGAAATTAACTCTGGGCTTGATCCACCTTGATTGCCCCAAATACGGGTTCCACAAGACGAGACTGGAGTAGTAGTCCTTGAGGACGCATAACAACAAGCCTTTGCAGTAATAGACTTAAGATATCTCGACTTGACCAAGTACATCCACCTGCTTTATAGATAGATCAACCACGCCACGGTCGCT